AGCTCTACCACTGGCCACACTTTTTGAATATTGCAATGAAAATCATAATATTGTAATAGAAATCAAATTCATTACCAAACTTTAGGAGCATGATAGAAAGAAAAAATTACATAAAATATATTGATAGTCACATATAGTAGATGCTACTGCTGATAGGAAGGTAGCTATTTGAGCTTTTTGTCTCCAAGAGAACTTGAAGCGTCCTGAACTGTGGTATCAGGCCAGAGAAAGGCACCCATTGCAAACTCTCGCTTGTGCGCTAAGTCACCGTGCATGGGCAACCCATATTCGGCAAGAAGGCGGTCGAGCTTCCACTCAGCCATGCCCTCGTAGTCCTTTTTGGTGTATCTCGGGTAGTGAAGCGGCATCTTGAAGAAGCCCACACCGCTGCTTATTTTTCTGCTTTCCATCTGATTTTTCTGCTCTTACTAATCACTATGCTCGATCTAGAAATTCGGTTTTCTGTGTTTTAGTTTGGTGTTGTGAGCTTGATTTATAGAGATTTTATGAGAGTTAATCCTTGAAGGCTCCAGAGGCATGATTAGGGTTCACAAGAATCGGTTGGCATACCTTCTCATAGCATGGTATTTACGTGCATGTGTGCATCTGCATGTCTAGGGAGAGACTCTTAACGAGAACAGCATGACACTAACCCAATAAGAAGGCTAAACCAAGCATTGGTGGAGACAAGGAACACATACAACATGCATCTACACACCCATTATGTTATTACGGTTCGACTCTTTTTCCGGTTATGCTGGATGTATTCCAACTTTAGACCTCTCTTAAATTTTGTCAGCTGTATTAATGAACAAGTCATATTTGTATTGAGTAAGTTTACAAGGATCAATTATACTTGATAAGTGAGGATTGGTCAAGATTCAATACGACACTACTTTTATTTATTTATTTTTGTTTCGAATTGTTATACCATTCATCTTTTCGTTGAAGTAGCCCTTGAGTTAATCAAGCATCAACGCACTACTCTAACCAGACCTAATTTTGTCCGAGCTCTCGACAACTATGTGATGTTTTTGTTGTTCTTAAAACGAAAAGATTCACGAGAACCAAAACCCTAAAAACCCTAGCTGGTATTTGGCCCCTACCACAGAACTTCACCGACACAATCTCAACTCCCAAGTGACCCTATAAAATGATCCCAAACCAAAACTAAATTACAGGGTGCGAATAAGCAACTTGTACGTGTTGCCATATGGTGCCTATAAACCGAATAGTACGAGTCTGTATTCGATAATGTTATCCAAACCACTCAATTCTGTAGGCCGCTGCATGGGATCAGATGAACATCCAATCGTAGCCACACGATCAGTTCTGAGACCGACAGATGATTAAGTGAGACGCATATAATTGGAGGGCCCGGACTTGGTGCATTGGGGGGGGTATCACGTCGTGCGGGTGCATGAGGTTCAGACATGAAACGTATGTGTAATACAGTTAGATATTAGTCTAAATATGTGGTGTGTTTACGGATCCGTACGCATGATCACTTTAAAAATAGCGACCCATGCTCTTGATTGTGGGGACTTTGGGACCCTTAAACTCAATCATCAAACTATATTCCTAGCCTCGTGATTTGCTTCAACTAAATTGTGTGACTAAGTTAACCATACGATTGAGGGTGAGGGTCTACTCGTAATTGTCGGAGACAATGGCGGAGTCAGGATAACAAAGTAGGAGGTTTGATAGTGGATTAACAGGCGAAGTTTGGATTAAATTGAGGTTAAAATAGGTAAATCAATGTACATAATTTTTTATTGGATAACAAAATTTGAGCTGGACTAGAGCCGAATCTAATTGGACAAATGTTTAATCAGACATCGCTTGCTCTAAAGTTATGTGAAAATTTAAGCTTGTGTGCAGTGTAAAGTGCTCTACTAATAAAGACACTCAAATTGATGATGTGATAACTTTATAACGTATTATAAAATCGAGCAAATCTTAATAAATTTCTTGAATCCTAATGTACAATGTGGAAATTTTTAAGGACAATTACGCACGAATGACTAATCTAAGTATTGTTCGGTAATGGTAACATGGTAACTGAAGCAAATTATTTTTTGATGCGGAAATGATTTTCCTTCTTTTTCCCTTTTTTGCTATTCGAATTGAAGGGGGGCCAAATTGAGGGAAATAATGAGGCCAATTTTACCATGTAATAAGAAATTGAAAGATTTCGTTGAAATTGTTCGTTTGGAAATTTCCCGAAAAGCTAATTGTAGGTTCTTCTCTCCATTAGAACAATAGGGCCGTTATGCTCATTACCAAACTTGTTGAAGAGATAAAATATAACAAAGGTATATCTTTTTTATCAAAGGTTGATCCGATAATGAAAAGAAGAATTAGGCCAAAAATTAGGATACATTAATGGAAAATATAACTTGCATCGAAGAAAAGCAAATGAAATATGCATGAGGCCCATATATGGAGGGAATTGTGCCGTACACAAGGCTTAGGGAGTATAAGTGGCTATTCGGATCCGTTCTCAAATCACCACTCATAAGTGGTGCTATCAATACATCCGTTTTTATTTTTCATACATCCTTCTCAATTTTCGATTGTCAAATTAATTGAATTGAAGATGATTAAATAGTAGAAATTATCAGAGAATGTGCGGCAAGTAAAAGGAGTGTGTGGATGTGGATAGCAATACCCTTTGTGGGAATTAGATCATCTCCTAAGCAGAAGATCAGGATCCTCCTGACCCACTAACACGGGCCGTTGGATTTTGATCCAACGGCTACAATTATTATAACTTTAGAGGGACCATCTTTTTGTAACCTTTATATCAAAATCTAATGGTCCGTATTAGTGGATCAGGAGGATCTTGATCTCCTGCTCAAGAGAGGATCCAATTCTCCGTTTGTGGTTTGCAGTCTATCCAACGTTTCTTCAGGTGTTCAGTTCAGTTCAGGCGTTAACTGTTTTGGGTTGGGCCACTTGTGGAAAGCAGAGACCGGTCAATATCCAAGGGAAGGGACCGTACTAGGGCACACTTAATTGGTTTCCAAGTTAGGTTTTGTGGTGGACTCTCTCTCTCTCTCTCTCTCTCTCTCTCTCTCTCTCTCTCTCTCTAACTTGATTGGATTGCATGACGGGGGGACATGGTATTGTTGGCATGAATGAATGTACATATTTAGGAGAATTAGAAGGTTATCCATACACATTTATACCAAAAATGCTCTAGCATTATTAGTGGTGGGGAAATGTAGAGAAAAACAAATGGTCTTTCTCATTCATGCTTCACTTAATTTTAATAATCATTTTTTTTATGATCTTGTTTCGGATTGCAAAAGTTTGATCATAGAGAACTGGAGTTGTTATGTGCAGCATGTTCATAGACAACGTAATTTTGCAGTTGATGAGTTAGCCAAATTGGGTTTAAATAGCGAGATGGAGTTTCAAGAGCTTGTGGAGCCTCCTCCTTGTTTAGTTCAAACTTTTTTCGATGACTGTTCTAGAGTCACTACAGCTAGATTAGTTGTTCCTTAGTTTTTCTTTTTCTTCTTCCATGTTACCGAGAAAAAGAAAAACATATGACTTTAAGCAACATTAAGTATTCCATAGTAAAAAAAAATTAAAAGTAAAATGCACAATAACAATACTTAAAATTGTTGGTCTAAAAATTCGTTGAATGCAACTTGGTATGTCGAGCCACAGACGCACTGCTTATTTGGTTCACGCGTGAAATACTAAAGCTAGATGCAAACAACATCAAATAGCAGTCAATTTGCATGTTTCCAAGCCATTTGGTCTAGATACTCTAATAAATTGATATTTTATTTGGTTATATATGCATATGGAGTTGGTGGTCCTTCTATAACATATAAAAAACTTGTCATTTTATTTGGTTCATGTACAAATATGTTTGTATTGTTTCTAAATAAAGAATTTGTTGAAAATTATAGCTTCCAACTTGTAGCATGATGTGTATGCAAGTTGTCCTCTTTACTAAACAAATAAGGAAAAAGGAGTTAGAGTAATACTCAACCACGATAAGTGGCTCAATAAAAAACATGCATACAACAACTCTTTAAAAGAAAAAATAAAGGAGGTTTTAGTTTTGATACTTAATAAGCTGAGTTCGATACTTTGTAACTGTGGAGAGGTCCTAGCCTTCTTCGGTCCCAAGAGGTTTAGATAACTGCGAGGAGGTCCTAGCCTTCTTCGGCCCCAAAAGTTAAAATGGTAAAGTTTTGGAACTACCATGCCAAGTTGTTAGGATCTTTCTAATAATAGAACAAAATAGAAATTAATAACATATAATTCTAGTAAAATATCATGCCCTTCTTCAACTATTCGACCTGCTCCTCGAAATAAGTAAATTTATTTGGTTCAAAGTAAATAGAATCCACAATACAAAAATATAGCTACTAGCACAACAATCTAACAATATCTTCTTTTTTTTTTTACATAAAAATAAAATGTCTCAAAGTTATTTTATCAAGATGACGAGTGCGATACTTGTGCTATTTGCACAACTGTTTTTATTCTTTGCACATTCTTCTTAATTTTAGACAGTTGAATCAAATAAATTGAAGATCAAAGACATAAAATTAATAAAAGTGTATGAGAGGTACCTTAAAATTGGTTTGTGAAAAACACTATCATACTTAAATATGACTAAATAAAAAATCCTACTACATTTTTTGAGATAAATATAAAAAACAGAAATCATGGAAGGAAAGAATCGAAAAACATTTTCAGAGGTCCTAATCAAATATGCGGACACGTGGTAGCACATAATCATTGGGGGCTCGCATCAGGTTCCACCACGTGGTGTGATGGAGAGACGGCCACGCCAGCCCCGAACAATGCTCTCTGTAGTTAAGGGAGCCCGACCTTCCAGAAACTTCCGGGAACTACTGGCTTGCAGCGGCCGAGGCATCTTGGGGTCAAAAACGAGCCACGTGTCCACACAGCCACGCGGGAATCCAACGTGGCGTCCCCATTTTCCTGTATTTGATACGGCCCCATTTTTAGCAACCCAGCAAAATTAGGGCACTTCCCAAAAACGTACTCAAAAGTCCACCGAAGCTCAAAAAACTTAAAAGAAAATTCCGAAATTTCGGAAAACGAAAAACGAAATCTCGGATTAGGAATCCATTTCCGTTCCCTGTTTTTCGGATTTTATCGAGCGATGAATGCGGAGGGAATTACGGAGGGAGAGAAAGTGAAGATGGAAGAGGGGAAAGAGGAGGTGGTGTTCATGTGGGGATATCTTCCCGGAGCTCTGCCCCAGAGATCGCCGCTTTTGTCGCCGACGATCGTGCGGACGGCCGACGCCGAGTACGCGTGGAAGGATGTATGCGGTGGCGGCTGCGGCTTCGCCATGGCCATATCTGGTGCTTTCTTCGAACTCTGCCTCGGTTTTTTACTTTCTGATTGCAGTTTTACCCGCTGTTTGGACGCCGAGAAAATGTGGGAAAATAAAGCTTGAAATTTTATGCTTTCTGCTATTTTTTTTCCATATAAAAACATACAGCATAGTAAAGTTATACAGAGTTTTTATGTCTGAAAATTGCTGCTGTACTTTATGTATCTTTTTCTATTTTCATTTCCACATTCAAATTGGGGAAGAATTATAATTTTAGTCTACACACACACATACATATATATATATATATATATATGTATATTCTAAATTGCTCTAATCCACGGGGAGGGAATGTCAACTTGGTTGCAACAGGACGGGCACACTGTCTTGGCAAACTGGCTTTAACCCGCATTTGGCTTAATTTGAGGCAGATGATGGACTCTATTATTTTTCTCCCCAATGCTGTTTTACCATATCTTTGTGTATGTTTGTCTTTGATGGTTGTGCTGCAAAGTACGTTTCTGTTTGCTCATGGTTCTTTGTTGGTATGATTTCACCCAGAGCCTGGAAAGCTTATTACATGGGGCTCAACAGATGATCTAGGCCAAAGCTATGTGACATCTGGGATGCACGGGGTACTGAAGCGATACACGACACTTGGTTCGTTCATTGGTTTATTTTGTTAATTTGTTGGTGGAATTAATTGACATTGTTCTCGATTTTGCTTGTTAAGGAAAACCCGGAGCCTTTTCCACTTCCGAATGAAGCTTGTATAGTACAGGCGGCCGCGGGTTGGGCCCATTGTGTTGCAGTCACAGGTAATGCTGATTACTGCATTTTTCTCAAGGAGTAGATTTTTATTCAACGTAGTGAGTAAAGGTTTAGAAACATCTGAACCCTTTTCTGACAAATAATTTCTTCTGAAGATGCCAAGGGGGTTTGGAATTAAGCGCATGAAACTAGACCGACTGAAACAATTAGTTGGTAACTAATTGAATTGTGGAAACAATTTCAGTTTCCATGTTCCATCGTTATTAAGCTATTATGAGTATTGAGGCAGTCAATAAATTTTGGTTTTTAATGCAGATAATGGAGGAGTTTACACATGGGGATGGAAAGAGTGTGTCCCATCTGGGAAGGTCTTTGGGGAGCAATCTATGGGTCCAGACGGTGTAAAGGATGCCTATGAAAGGCAGAATTCTTTTATGACTGAGCAAGGTAATTCATGTTTGGCCTCTTTTCTTGACAATGACAAAAACTTGTTTTTCGTTCATTGCTGACTTATTTATGTTTATAATATAGTTAGCCCTCGCTCTCAAGGCTCACGATCCACTGCTGCAGCAGTTTCTGCTAGCGAAGAAAGTACAAAGCGAAGAAAATTGTCGTCAGCAAAACAAGCGGCTGAAAGTTCATCATCTGGTGATGAACCTCCGTCAGCATTGCCATGTCTTGTGGCATTGAACCCGGGAGTTAGAATAGCCAGTGTTGCCGCTGGAGGGCGCCATAGTCTGGCATTATCAGGTAATTTTACCCTGTTCTGATTTTTACCTGTATGCGATGCATAGTCTCTTTGCATTGTGGTCATGAAATAAGGTGCGGAATGAAGTTTCAGAGTTAGAAATTAGAATATTTATAATATCAAGCAAGACATAAGGTATCCTAATTTCCCAAAACTTCAGATATAGGACAAGTGTGGGGATGGGGCTATGGAGGTGAAGGGCAGCTTGGTCTGGGCTCCCGCATACGTATGGTATCCTCTCCTCATCCTGTACCTTGCATTGAGTCCTCTTATGGAAAAGATAGATCTGCAGCACTGTCTCGAGGAACCATGGGTTCAGACGGATTTGGTGTTAGGGTTCCTGGAAATTATGTGAAGGGGATTGCCTGTGGAGGGCGACATAGTGTAGTAATCACAGGTACAAATTTTAAGTTCTTTCTCCAATTATTTATAAGCATGGGCACCCGAGCTGGATAGTACTGTTACTGCCAACGTCTTTAATTAATCTTAGATACTCAATTGGTATTTCTTGCCGTTAATATGTTATATGTAAGAGATATTTGATTAAATACTGAAGAATCAGTCACTAGATTAGGTGAATGATCAATCATTGGAATCATGGGAGCCATTTTCAAAACTTCATAGTTATAGCTGTTTATAAGTGGGGAATTAGAATTGACTTATCACAGGAATGGCATTACTGTGGTTAGTGTATCATGTGGTACAACTGAGATGTTAAACGATTTTAGCACTTTAGCTTTTATGTTTTATTTTACATGTATGTTTGTGATTTCTTTCTTGCATTTCAGATGCTGGAGCAGTACTTGCTTTTGGTTGGGGGCTGTATGGACAGGTGAGTTTTCTGCAGTATTGCACTCTTTGCCTCACACTTTTGCTTCTTCAAGAAACCATAAGTGCTGTCTGCGTTAATTTTATTTCATCCGTATGCACAACATATTACTTCATAGTGAAAAATCATTGATCATAGTGCTTTTGGCTTGTTGGTGGTAAAACTGCTATTGATGACCAATATGAAAATCCATTATCTATAGTATTACTGGATTAGTACCTAAACAAGATGTTACCGGTGTACCAACCAGGCTGGAATGTCTAATTTTTAATTTTTGTATCCATCCATAACTCCATACAAAACAACTAGCAGGTGTTCCCCAAATCTTAACCATTCTACGGTATCATTATGTAGGTATAGGAATGATGGAGAAAAAGCACTGTAGGTGCTCAAGATGAGGTTCACTCAAATGGATTAATCTATTCTATTCCTTCCCAACATTACCAATAGTGCACTGTTGCTGACCGTTTTGGCTTATTAAAATAAGGCATAAAACTGATTTCCTTGTCATTTTTGTTTTTTCAAGTGTGGGCAAGGAAGCACAGATGACGAGTTAAGCCCGATTTGTGTATCTTCATTACTGGGTATCCGGATAGAGGGTGTTGCGGCAGGACTGTGGCACACTGTCTGCATTTCAGCGGATGGCGATGTTTATACATTTGGTGGGAATCAGTTTGGACAGCTGGGAACCGGAGCTGATCAAGCTGAGGTAAACCATGAAGTTTACCTAAATCTATCCTTTGTTTGGCTATAGAATTTGACATCCTCACTAATTGAGAAGTCATAAAGTTACTAGAATATGATATGATTGCTTTGATTCATAGGTTTGTCATTCAGGCAATGACGCAACGGGATGATAACCCTTAATTTTTCCCTTAACTCGGCCATAAAATGTTAATAGTATATAGGTAGGGTTACTAGGGTAACATAAATTAAATAATCGATAATATTTACGTGGCTACTTTTGCAGTATTTTCAAATCATCATTGCCAATATTCATTGAATGTTGCTTTCAGAGAAACTGTTGAACTGAATTTTCTTGAATTGTGGACCAGACGATACCAAGACTTTTGGATGCTCCAATTCTGGAAAATGAGAATGCAAAGATTGTTTCCTGCGGGGCGCGTCATAGTGCCATAATCACGGGTATGCTACTGTCTACTTTTACAAGCTCCCTAACTCTTTTATGATAAGCGACTTTATCTTTCTTTAAGCTAACTAGTCTTTCCTTTAAGCTAAAGAAGAGATGGTATCCAATCTTAATGTGGTTAAGCAAATATGATTACCTCGATTATATTTGGTTACATGTGGTCGTCTGCATTGGTCCAGAAAACAGGAAGTGATTTATAGAGAAAGAAACACGGAAATTTGGTCAGCTCATAAGAGCCTTCACAAGTCCTTGGAAAATTCCAAATATTGTGTTTAGGCTAGTAAACAAACGAAAAACAGTGAAAGTGTCTGAAGTTGTAGGTAGCATGGATAAAAATATCTATTTAGGTGGAGATATCAGTTGCTTGGGTTTACAGAAATATCGGTTTATGTCATAATTTTAGTTTAGAAGATGTTGAAGTTGAACTTGTGTGGATTAAAACCTAAAGAGATTCTTAATTTATTTGTGTTTCATGTAGATGATGGGAAAGTTTTCGGCTGGGGATGGAACAAGTATGGTCAGGTATTCCAGCTGTCATCAATAGTTCATGTCGATGCTATGAATGTATTTTGCGCTGCAATGCTCCTATTTCTCGTTTTGGCTTGCAAGTCTCATACTGTGGTTTTCTGTTGCAAATTCCAGCTTGGCCTGGGTGATGTGATCGACCGCAACATTCCGGCTCAAGTCACGATCGACGGATGTGTGCCGAAGACTGTGGCATGCGGCTGGTGGCATACCTTACTGCTTGCTGAACCTACTTGAGTTCTCCTAGTCCAAAGGCCACGGTACAATTTTGTTAGATAGCAGTGTTCATTGAAGTTGGTAACTTATTGGTTACATGTACATACACTAGTTTGGAATGTAATTGTATGTACATATACATATGTATTTATGTATGTATAATGTATATGCATGTACCTCATTCTTTCATGGCGGACGTCTTCCATGTCTGATACGGTTAGGATATCGTAATATGTATCAAATTCGACGATGTACAACTAAGGTTGTGTATAATTGGAAGTGGCTGTGATGTAACCAAACGCCTGGAAATGTTATGTAATTGTTATGTAATTGTTCTGTATTGTCTTAGGAAATTGGCAGCTATGTGGGGAATGCTATGGAAATTTCCTTGATTCATCTGTGTAATGCGATGTCTGGTGCAAACTTGCAAATCAAACGTTCTATTTTTTTTTTTTTTTTTATATTCTCGAAGTACATTTTCTAAGAGAGAGACTTACATGCATCTAGAACACTAGTGATGGTGTTCTAAACTATCATGCAATATTATGTGTTTTAACTCGTTCACTTGACATTGCTTTATTAATTCGGAACAGGCCTTCAATGAAACAAGTCACGGACGAGCTTGAGTACATTGCAAGCGTTGCCGCAACAAAGGGTTGTCGATGTCTATTTTTTGTTCGAGTTACCTGTCCTATTTGGATAATGCACGGTTGTGTTTTTGTTTAGCAGATGCATATGTATGTTAAGAGATTATATTCACACCCTAATTTACTTCTACCACACTTTTTTAATTTTTAATATTTTCTATACACCACTAACATTTGATAAAAAATATTAAAAAATTAAAAAGATGTGGGAGAAGTAATTTGGGATGTGTGAATATAATCTTTATTACCAGAGTTTTGCATGTACAGCTTGAGGTGAAGGTTTTGCTTGCTGAAATGTGAGTTTTTTTTTTTTTGTTTTTTGTTTTTTGTTTTTGAGATTAGGGTTAAGGGGCGTGCCTTAAAGAATTTTTTTGGAAGTATTGGATACGCCAATGGGCATACCGAAAAGGAGGAGAAAGTATGTTATTCGCTTACGTCTACAACACTCATGATCCATATGTACACAAAGCACATGATGAGTATTATACCATTGAGATTCTGTTTAGATTTCTGTGTCCAGAGCCTTAATGATTAAGAAATCCAGACTACTCATTCAAATCTTGCGACTCCCTTTAACCCACCTTACACAAATCAAAAGCCCAAACCTTTGTCTCCCTTGAACAGCTCGAATCGCCAAGTCTTTGGACGCCAGACACAGAGATTCTCTAATCCAAAGCATATTCTCTCTAGAAAGAAGCTCAATTATGAGTGGCAGGGGAATTATGTAGTTGGCCTTTTTGGGTGGACTTATAGGCTTGAAGAAAGATTAGCACTAATTATGTAGACGAGCCTTCATGGTCAAAGGGTTTTTGCTTGTTTTCTTTTTTATTCTGAAAGATGGCATTATCAATCATTGGCTTAGTTTCTAATAAGCGATTAGCTCGAGCAGAGCTGTTAATTGGTTGCAATCAACTCTTTCAAATGATTTCTTTGGCTGGTCTTCTGTTTTGAATCTTTTGATTCTTTCTTAAGTAGGTAATGAGTAGAAGTGAGACCTAAAAATAGGCTTTGAACGGACCAACTACCTGGATACTGTAAACACGTTTAGACTGCTTTTAACACACTTTGAGTTGTGCCTGAAACAAAAGGCAATAGAATAATCAGATCTTATAACTAATTTACTCATATTATAATATAGGTGGACGATTATTTTATATTTTAGAGTGTATTATTAATAACACGCGTTAGTGGTGAACTGGTCATGCTATGAGACAGCGTTCTAAGACCACATTATAATTTCTCCATGATAAGAATGCATATTCCATTGTTTTGGTTAAAGAAAGAATATAAGGATTACATTAATTTGTTAATCTTCTTGTTTTACCCTTGAATTTTTTTTGTTCCTGATTATTTCTGGCTTATACTAAAAATGGTAGCTTGATTAAGAAAGTTGGTGACCATATGAAGTAAAGCCTAAAGATTTTGAATAGTCAAATAAGACCAAATTCACAAATTATTTTTGCTTTTTCCAGAAGACAGATGAGTTGGGCTGACTTGTCCTTTACTATTTTAACTGGCATTGCACTTCTTGATTGTATTAAGGGAAGATGACATGCTCCTTAAGGCTTCATTAGTAATGGTGGGTATGAAATATCGAACACTTGATTTCGGGTGCAGTTCGTTAAGTCGTCCTTTACTTTTAAATTTTTAATTACTTAAGTTGCAGTTTGCTCGGAAAAGTTGATGACTTGCCATTTGACTCAAGTCATATCTTTTTTTTTAAAGATATTGTTGGAACCAAAGTTCTGCACCACCATGGATGGTAGGGAGTGTGAGAACATACGACCATAGACAAGAATAAACAACTGTGATTAACGTAAGGTACTGGTGTGGTACCAGGCCAAAGGCTTTTTAATAGTCAAGTTAGTATAAAGATCTTAGAACTCCTTTTATGATTGTGAATACTTGCAGTGCAAAACATTCCATAGATGGTGGGAATATCCAAGAATATAAGCAACCAATACGAACCCTAGTTGGACCAGGTTTCCATGTCTTGTGAAACATGTATGGTCTATCTCAGCAAGGTCTGTAGGGGTAGTAATCCAATGGTAGTAAAAGATGACACTTGTCAAAAGATAGAAAAGGTAGTTAGAGTTAGTTACATTGTGACTTAGGCAGTAAGATTTGTGCAAGGTAGTATATAACCTTGAGGCTGTAAGATTGTATGACATATAGAAAAATACCAGTTGAAGAATATTCATTCTCTCTCTCTCTCTCTCTCTTCTTTGAACAATACTGTGAATTTCTTCATCTTTCTTGGCGTCTGGTTTCTATGCATGCCAACTGTTTGACAAAAGTTCGCAATTACCATTATGCTACAAGTTTTCAGTTTTCTTGCAGCAATGGTTTCTACCTCTCAACTACAAATTGTTCAATCTCCCATTATCTCTCTCATTTCCATTGTTTCAACATCTGTCACAGTCAAGCTTGATGAGACAAACTACTTGGTTTGGCATTTTCAGATGCAGCTTTTGCTCTAAGGGCATGGAATCATGGGGTTTGTGGATGGTTCCACACCTTGTCCTGCTCGATTCACATGAATTACACCTAGTGGATTCGAGGTAGATTCGGACGAAATTGGTTCTTCCATAGAATCTGATGGCTACAAGATTTGGAAGATGCATGATCGAGCCTTGATGCAGCTAATTACTGCAACCCTTTCATCACCTGCAATTTCTTGTGCCATCGGGAGTACTAGTGCTCAAGATCTTTGGACACGGCTCAAGGAGCAATTTTAGATTGTTACAAGAACAAGTATCTTCCAAATGAAATCAGAATTGCAGAATATCAAAATGGTTAATGATTCCATTTCTCTTTACTTACAAATAATCAAGGAGACTAAAGATTATCTTTCTGCGGCTGAGGTTAAATTTGATGATGATGATATTGTAATCCTTACTCTTAGTGGTTTGTTTGGTTTAACAACACTTAAAGGTTAAAGGTTCTATTTCTAACTTGAGGTCGGCCACAAGGCCAATTACTTAGAAGTGGAGCATAACCATATATATGCATGCATGACGTGCTATTTTGTCAAGGGGCTCCAACACCAAAAGATCAACGAATTGTTTAGGTTGTTTGGATGAAGACGGCAATTTGGAACATGCTGACGTTGACCAACATAAGTAAGCCTTAGTTTTGGCGCAAGACAACTACGTTTCCTTAATTGTATGATTCGGGTGCATAAATAAACGCTCGTATTTGCTTCAGTTACAAATCTCTTGTTATGATGTAATCAATGTAAAGCTCCATTATAATTTCTCCATGATAAGAATGTATATTCCATTGTTTTTTGGGTTTTTTTATTTTTTTTATTTTATATATAAATATTTTAATATTTATTTAATTTTTAATTAATTATTTTTAAAATATTCAATTACTTTTTTAATAAAAAGTGGGTCCCGCCTCAAGCCACGTTAGCATTTAATGGAAGAATTGACAGACAGCTGATGAAAGGTATGACATTTTAACAAATTCGAAGATAAGGTATGACATTGAAACTTTTTAAAGACTAGGTATGAAAACGTTAATGACCCAATAGTTGAGGTAGTTTTATGTAATTTACCATTTTAGTTTAGAAGATGTAGAAGTTGAACCTGTGTGGATTAAAACCGAAAGAGATTCTTAATTTCTTTGTGTTTCATGTAAAGGATGGGAAAGTTTTCAGCTAGGGATGGAACAAGTATTGTTTGGGTTAATATTTGAACATTGGACTTAGATGAAGGAAAGCCCAAGGGTGCCAAATTAAAAGAGATTTGCCTGAAGTCCATCATCAAGCCCAAAAGCAAATTGAGGCCTTCTCAGCCAAGATACAAGCCACGTGCTTACCATTGAAGTGACAAGTGATGGAGACTAATCTACTACCAGCCAAAGAACACTTTTCAATGGTATTACAAGTAAAAGTTGATGACTCACTACCCTTCAAATGCTTTCGGGCAAGAACAAAGTTACAGCAGTCGGGCTAATCTGCCTATAAAAGGAGGAAGAGGCCCCAGAGATAAAGACACTCAACCAATCAACACAAACATACAAACTCTGCTCTCAAGCCAAATTTGCATCCAAAAGCTGTAATCAGCTCAGATCTCAGATCTTTTAGTGACAAGCTATCTCTTGTCCAGTTTAAAGCTCTGCTATTTCTCTTAGTGGCGTAGTATCGATTCCCTCGTGTAAACTTGTTTACCATCCATCCTTTTTTAGCATGTAAACCCTGTAATTACAAAGAGAAGTGACTGCAAGAAGTTCAACCTTGCCATACAAGGTGAAATCTTACTTGAAGCTCTTTGTTTGTTTTCCAAAGTTGTAGATCTATTACTTAATGCATTCTCCAGTACATATTCAAGTCATATCCACCTGTTTTCCTATTTTAAGAGTTCCATTTGCATTTGGATCTGGTTAGTTTAATGGATATGTTGTCATTAAAATCAATCAAAAACCAAGTAAATGGCTTAAAGGGCTCTGGACTCCCTTCATTTGAACATACAAGACTATGAACTAAAAGTCCTTGTTTACAAGGCAAGAAAAAGAACTTAATGTGGACTTAACCCATCCACGACAATCCTTTGATAACAAAAAGTCCGAGTAACTTGGGACGCAAGTAATCGACTAAAAACACTCTTATTCTACATATGCTATACTGAGATAGCAGTGGCACGCGTAGCACTCAGTTAGTTTTGATTGTGA